TTCAATGTCTCCGGCCAACCAGTTGTAGAGTCTTTCGGACCCTAACCTGGAAGACGGGAGACACCGATTCTACCTAATCGCTCTGTGCGTTTCTTCATGCCTCGCTTCCACATCATCTGTTGACCACCACGCGGTTTCTTCCAACCTGGAGCCGTAACTGCGAACAAGGTGAGAGAATGTTCTACAGAATGTTTTGTCCGATCTAGCAAACGGTGGAGTTCAACTGCTCGCAGGGAACAGAGTTCTTCACTTAGAATATGCCGATAACTTCGCCTTGCTGGGTGACAATGCACAGACAGTCCAAAAAGCTTTAAGCCGCTTAGCGATTCAGATATCCAGGTATGGTGTGTGCTTTGCGCCGTCCAAATGCAAAGTACTTTTACAGGATTGGCAGGAGCCTGTGCCTGCACTCACCGTCTATGTTGATCAACTGAAAATTGTTGAGAGCTTTATGTACCTCGGGAGCTTGATCGCAGCTGGTGGTGGTATATATTATATTTTCACACACGTCTGAATTCCAACTGTGTGCCAAACAATAATCTTTATGAAAAAGAAAGACGCTCCATGATTTGCATGTGGGCGGAATACTGCCAGGGTACCCAGGCCAAGACAGGTGAATTATCTTGAGAAATCGACAGCCGGAGCCTTTGGCTAGCCAAAGCCTGACCCGCAAGACAGCAGGGCGGTGTGCGAAAACCTTCATCATTGTACAGCGAAATAGAGTAGCGAACTTTACTGATCGCTGCCAAACTCCCAATGCATATGCATTGGGGTTTGATGGACGGGTACTACTAGGGTGTCCAGCCACTAAGTAGGAGAACGTTTAAAGATCTGAATTAAAGTCTTTTGTTCTGACAAGAACCTAGCCGCAAGGCAGCGGGTGAAGCAAAGGGGAGGCCTATTTACTGGGATCGATTACTCCTCCATTTTTTATCCATTGAGACGCTAACTCGAGTCGAACCCTAACCTGGAGGATCAGGAGACTGGATTTTGTCTCACCTTTACCCTTCGACCTTCCAGGCATGATTAGATCTACGCCTTGACAAAAGCCATCCTGTGTAGTTCGTTGGACGAGAAAGGTGCACAATCCATCACACCACGGCAAGGTGCAGTCTCGTTGTGTGCCACAATATTGATACAACGAAACGATTGTAAATGTATTGTTCAACTTTTTGCTGCGAGCGGAGGCAGACTACTATCTCCACACCTCCCCTGTTTTCTTTTAATCCCAATGGAATTAACGAATTGTGAAATGGCAATTTACTGCATTCATTCGCTCAGGGTTTACGATGCGTCCATCGTGGGTAGCGCTCTGGTTTGACAAAATCGGCTGCTGCCCCAAATTTCGTGGGGGCACAAAGTCAGTACGTACCGCTGAAGAGTTCAAACAAAGGCGAAACCACTGTCAAGTGCCGCGTGTTAGCTCTCGCATAACTGGAAATGTTGAGCACACACATTCTGTTGCATCTTTCAAATTCATGGTTTATTCTAGGTAATTGTTCGCTTACCGCTTGTTGACCGCCGGTAATTTTGAAGCCTCGCTACAAAGCTGGATTCGGTTGCCATTGAGTTATTGTTTGCCTTTAGTGATTACTGAAGTAAACCTGTTACTCGTCACTAACTCTCCTTGCCTGTTTAATTCTTCTCCTCGAAAACCTGTTGTATAATTGATAATTCTAAGCATTAAACAGAATTCATAACACACTGTGTTGCTGTCGATCCAACACGGAACGAAGCAAGGCTTTGAAGCTATTGAAGTGTTTTGCTACGCATTTTATTTAATGTTTTTTTATTCCATTCACGATTTTCATTCAGGTTAAATTGACATGCCAACATGTTGCAGGAAATCTGCGCAAAATGCTAAACCAGATCAGTCATAAACACCCGAGTGTGCCATTGGTTTCTGATGTTGCTGCCCGTTTTCACGTCTTTTAATTGTTGTAGTATAACTTTTTTTCACTTTTTGTAGACACACTGTGGTTATGTGGTTGCTGAATATCCACCTTTCGAGGTGTATAAAGCGATTCCTTGACTTGACTTGACTCGATGTTTCACCTTAGTTTTTCATTTCGATTTTTTTATATAAACCTTATCAGTGTTTATCTGAAGGCAGCCCAAATACGACTGGACATCGACACAGTTCAGTCGGAGTTGTTGGTGGTTGTGGCTCCAGTGGCAGTGGTGGTAGCAGCCTGGGTTCCGGTGTGTGCGCCAACTGGATTTTTCCATGCTCACGTAAATTGGAACGCACGCGAGAGTTCGCTTGTCTCGAACTCCTAATACAGCGAGTTTTGACCTGCATTGAGAATGCCGGCATCTCAAGCAAGAGTAATTCGGAGGACTCACTTACTCCGGAAACACTGATGATAATCCGGCTTTCAGAGTTTATGCAATTAGCCTGGGCAGGTGGTCGTATATGGAATCTCAGTACAGGTGAGCTATTCATTAACTGACATGTTGCCCCGATCAAGTTCAATTTACGTTGCTACATGTTTCGATCACAAGCACATCAGTTCTTTGAATGGCGCCTGTTCCTGCTAATTGGCTTCTGGCCGTCTATGAAGGTCCAAAATGTCCATGGGTAGTCTGGATAAGTTAATACTGGGTGCTGATATACCCCTCTCAGATCAATAGTTCTTCGGAATGTAATGACAAACTCATCAATATCGAATGTCTTTATAACGTGCTAGACACACGGTGTATTGCATTAGCTTATTTTACGCTATACTTATCATTCGTATACTTTGGCCAAGTATTGAATGACCCCGGGTCCAAAACTTAAACGGTTA